AGGAAGGAAGGAAGGAAGGAAGGTTTCGATTCAGAGGCTGCCTTTCGCGACACCGTGGTCCTGCATGTTCACTCGTGAGTTTGCAGGACGATCTGCTATGCTGCCGCCAATAGTGCTTCATACCTAGAGGGCTGTCCTCTTACACTGACAGCATGGGCTGGAAGCCGGGATCGAGCCAAAAGCCGAGGTGCATCTATGGAACTTGGATTCCAACTCGAGGTGGTTGCAACTCTGCGAGACACTGCGAGAGGGTTCCCCAGCTGCAAGAGGTCATCCTTCCCGACGACAGCCTACGCGGTGACAAAGCTGTGCACGAATGTCGAGCGAGGGTTGGTGCGGCTGGCACTGTCTGAAAGAGGGCCATGCGCGTGAACTCAAACACATCCTTGAGATGCCAGGTTGCCTATAGCGAAGGTGGCTCTCAGCCTCAGGCTGGTACTCGCGATGTCAATCTAATGTCCAGGGTGCTCTTTGCTTGCTGCCAGTGTTGCCGGCCGGAGAAATGCAGGTTTACGTGTACTCCTGCTCGCCGCAGAAATTACTGCGTGATCCCCATCCTTGGCAAGTGTGGTTTCGAGGGATGCAAGCAAAAGCCCCCGCTGTAAGGTTTACAATAACAGACCTGACAGAGCTCGAACTGGCTGACATGGCGTTCAGCCGGTGTGGTTCGCGCTTGTACGCCTTGTCGAGGCAGGGCGAGTTCCCTGCAGCCACGAAGAGCTATCATCAGACCTGACTCTGACTGACATGCTTTCGCCAGACCCGTTTTTGCTAAGATCTGGACAACAGCTTGGCTTGGCAGGGCAACCTCCAAGAAATTGCACATATACTCTATGTTGACTGGGCTGCCACTGCAAGGCCAGGTTGTGCTACAACACTGAGCAAACCGCTGCCGAGTCTCTGCTTGAGGCTGTGAGCTGCAACTGCCGCTCCGCTTTGACAAAATTTGTGTCTATCCCGGCCACAAGGATTGCAAGTGAACCCTTGAGTCCTTTCCTGGCCGGTCATGATGTTACACCCGCCTTGAACTTTCAGGACCACGTGGCTTTGATCCGCAGCTCCGCTGTGCGAATTGTTTCCATCACAAAGTCGTTTGAGACGTATATCGCAAAGCTGCAGTCGGGGCCCCAGACTCGGATTGGACTACCAGGCAAAGCTGGAAGCCCGGATTTGTGCTGACACATCGGACAAGGCCACCGTCAATCCCGGTGGACACGGACTTGGCCGTCTCAGCCTATTGCTGGACCAACTCCGGGTCGGATCCGCAGTGGTGCTGTTCAAAGAATCTGGCACCCACCATGAGCAAAAAATGATTGACCGAAGCCATGAGAGGCATTTTCTCGTGGCTACACGTCAGGGGCTGCATGGGCCCGAAGTGCCTGTCTCGCTTGGAGTCTGGTCATCAGGTTCGAACACTGCACCGAGGCTTTGTACGCTCGACGGGGCCACTGGTGCTTTGCTGTAGCCTGGCTATCTGTAACGTCTCTTGTTTGGATTTTGCAGCACATGCTGCCTGCTGTCATTGTCGGTTCAGGTATGTTTGCCAAGCGGAGCAGCCCATTACCAGCATTGCTTTGTTTGGAGCTCGGAAGAAGCCTTTTGCACCGTCTTTGCATGCTGGGATCGCCACGTGCAGGACACAAGATTACCTGATCACATCTCACATCGGGAACACGCTGAATTTTTGGGAACTGACACCAGAGGCCGAGCTTCCCTGTGTGCCACTCACAATATACTCGTACCCCCATTGACTTGTGGAAGGCGCTTCGAGGCAGCCCCGAAGAAGCTGCTAACATTGCTTCCGGTGCAGCACCAGCGTGCGCCGGCCAGCTTCAGCTTCCGGTCAATCGGTGCTTGCTGCAAGTGACAGGCCTAAAATGGCTCTGTCATCTGGCATGTTTCAGCTCAAGAAGGTCGGATTTCGGAAGCCATGCAGGTTTCTCTGCACGACAAGGCATGTGAATTTCGCAGGTGGCTGACTTGGAAAGCGTCGGCCAATCACAAGACCTAGGGCATAGGCTTCTTGGCCAGGCGATCCTTCTTCTTGACACGCTTGCGGCAAAAAACATTTGCAGTCTTTGACAGGTGGCCTCTGTCCAGGCATCAACCGACTTCAAAGATGCGGAGACCTTCTCAGTTGCAAGGGAGAGGGCTCCGTGATGCTCAGTATTGGGCCAGACCTCGTCAACTGCAGGTTCTGACTACAGCAGAGGGCGAAGTTTGGACAATCCAACTGCCCTCCAAGCTGTCCCACAGCCGCGCTTGTCGTTGCGACTTGGTTGTTCGAGCCAAGCTCATCTCCGGCCGTGGCTTCCCTTGGGACCCCGAACTCACTTGGCGTGCTGAGGGCAGGGTTCGCACACTTTCTCGAGATTTCCTGTTTTCACTCTCTGACTCTCATGTTCCTCGCACCCGTGTAGCTTCTGAACACACCGTCAGACCTGCTTCCTTTGATTGTTCGTGCAAGCCAATGCATGCTGTAGCTGTCTGTTCGACAGTTCGAACGGTGCGAGACCTTGCTACAGCCAGTGCAATGTCCGGTGGACTTGGCAAGCTCACGACTCCCCAATGGACAGCGTTAGGGACCAAATGTACCAAGATTTCCAAGTTGGGCGGTGCAGTCGAACACCACGTGTCTGCGCGGAGCCTTTTGTGCTTGCCAGTCGACAAGAGGGCCAAGCTGACGAGTTCGAGGAGGTCAGGGTCGTATCTCATGTCCTGAACTTACCTTCTGCCCTTATGCAAACCGCGAGGACGACATGTATGTGCGAGCAGAGCAGTTGTGGGACTGGCTTGTTTCGGCGATTCGCTTCTGAATCGGAGGAACTTGAGAATTTCACTTCCTGGTAGGCAGATGGAGCTGCTTTGTTGGTTTCACACCAACGCCATCACCTGCATTTGCCCCATCGGCTCGGGGCTGCAGGCCGGGATGGGAAGCCCAGAGAAAGTCACAGAGACTCGGCTCCTGTGCAGGTCTGCGCTAGTGCAGATGAGGGCGGTCGGTTACGGCTGTGGCAGGCACTAGTCAGCGCTCGTCTCTTGAAGACTTCAGCATTTCTGGCAGCTTACAAAACAAGCAGGTATGTCGTGGAGAGGACCCCAAGGGTTTCCGAGTTCTGCGATTCGCCTCGGCTTTGACAAGTCTCACCGTGGAGTCCAGAGGGAAGTACCTTTTTGCTAGCAGCCCTCTCAGCTGTGACAGATGCTCCTGGTTTGCTTTGCCGTTGCCGGTGTGCTGAGTGTGCTGCTACTTGCGATGCCCAGGCACCGACGGAGGTTGCATTCATGCCGTCTCGATCGAACGATGGTCCGATGCGCAGGCGTCTGTCCAGCCGTGGTTTTCTAGGGAGATTCGAGTGGTTGGAGATGTCAGTGTTCGTCGGCAGTGCTCCAACAACACAGGTGATCGACACCCAGCGCATCAGTGAGGTGGGCATTGCGAAAATTTGCTGCACCGCCTCGGAGGACCCCCTTGAAGATGCCTTCCACATTGTCCAAGCTCCCTTCTGTATGGGGCACTCGGCGCTGGGAAGGACGGACTGGCGCTCAAGGTGGCCGCCCTCCTCTTCGATGGCAGGAGCCCTGACAGAACCTGAGCAGTTGGACCCCAACTCCAGCAAAAATCAGTGCTTGTCAAGTTCGTTTCGTTGTAGCTCATTCTAGCTTGTCCCCCATGTCACCGTTGCCATGGAAGGATAGCGATGGTGTCCTTCTCCCTACGAGATCCTAAG